TTGCTTGCCCTTGAGGGCATGGCAGGCAGTGTTGGGTGTGCCAGGGCAGGAAACAGCACTTATCTTATCCTGTGGCATTTTGGGGTCCTCTTTGAGCCAGGAAATGCCATCATGACCTGCAGCAGATAAGATAAAGAGCTCTAAAGAGGACTGCAGAGTTTTTATGAGTAATCACTTGTTCAAATAACTGCCTATATTCCGTGTATTCAAAGAAACTAGTACCAATTTCCCCACTGGGTTCTTACATGCTAGTGACACGACTGTCATTTTCTCACAGCTCTCTCAAGAACCCACATCTACTTTGTCTTGTGGAAAAAAGCACACCGGCAATGCTTGATAACTTGAAGAATCCATGTTCAAAACAAGTCCTCTCCACCTTCTCTACTGCAGTTTCACTACCTGAAAAATGCACAGTTAAAGTGAAAGGAAATGGAGTATGACATCAGACATGAGGCCAAGTCCTTAATTTGTTTTTTTTGCTGAGGCTGAACTCAAGGAAGTCAATTGATCCTTGCTTGAGTCAGTAATGAGTAGAAATTAAGGAAGGACTTGAAGACTAGGTCTTTGATGATTAGCTCAGTGCCTTCTGTGTAACCCCAAATGCTCAAAAGAGTACAGAGAAAGAAAGGAAAACTACCCCTTAGCACTGGCCATTGCCAGCTCAGGCAGGAGGACTTCAGTATTCATAGAATCAGGATTCTACAACAGAACTGATAAAGCCCCATGGAAATGAGAACAAGATTGGAGGCTGGGCAGTTGCAGCTGGGTGGCTGAGAAGGTTAAAATAAAGCCATTTACAGTTTTGACATATTCCCCTCTCTTCAAAATCACTGTGAAGCACAAGGCTATATGCATGTATCTCTTCTACGATGCTGAGCACACCACAGGATTCCAGATCAGACTGGAGATACATTTTGCAAAGCAATAGCTCAAGGATGTAATCCAAATGCCTATACCACCTTCCTCAGTAAATTCCGTACCTGGTTCAGAAAGTCCAAGACTCCATTTGCAAAGCTGTCATTGAAACTATTGTACACCATGCAAGCCATGCAATTGCAGTAAAACGAATGACTGCTTTTACCCATGGGTATAGAACCTGTACAAAACAGACTGGTTCTACAAACACATAATACCATGCCAACAGTTCCCCTCCCCCTCAAAAAGCCATCAAAAAGAAAGAATGATAATGTACAAAAAACCCCAATATGTGACCCTCTTAGTCTCCATAGAACTGGGGACACCGTTTTTCTTGAATCTAAGTGTTATGGCCAAATTTTGTATTGAATCATCACTCAGACACTCTTATTGACCCAGTGGAATTGTACCAATCCAAATCAAAACCAGCTGTCCAACATTCTTCCCTTGACTCCCAAACCTTTCCAATTCTATTCTTCCTACCTCACAAAGCATGCCTTGAATGAATTCAATGGCAGGAGTACAAATGCAACACTGCAAAACTGACCAGTTCTATGTATTCACAGCCATAGAAGCCAGAGAGAGTCAGTAATCCTGGAATCATCTGATTAGACAGCACATAAAGCCAAATTTATTTCAATTGCTTTTCTGCCTGCAGCAGTAGTAGGGAAAGGAAGGCTATTAGTAATCCCTTTCTGTGTTGCTCTAGCTGTAAATAAGTGTTTTTAGTGGATTACCCAAGGATGTAGATTTTATATTATAAAACTTCCTTATTGCTGCATAAACTATGAATGTAAATTAAGGTGTAAAAGGTAAATTCTGCTTCAAGGGGCTTGATTGAAGACTTGGATTACAGCATAGATGAGCAGATTTATATTTATATTGTCAGGTTGATCTGAACCAAACAAGACCTTTCTAAATAAGAGAGCAACTTAAGCAGATTAAATCAATATTGTACAAATATGCAAATAGTTCTGCTTCACCCCATTTCCTCCCATGCACATCACTTGTTAGCATTTATTATATTATATGTAGAAAAATAATGTTCAGTTACTTAGGATTAGCTCATAAGGAACAGAAATTGCTGAGGTAAGTGCTCAATGATTTGGCTGGCTCCAGTACTAATCAGGCAGCTGGAGGGCATCCTCGTTGCACATTGTGTCAGGAACTGTGTGTGACTCCACATAGTGTGAAGGGGAATCTCACACTCGCAATCCCTGGTGCTGAGAGTCTGCGTGCTGAGAGTGTCTGTCATGGAGCTATTCTCACCTTGTGGAAGATTGGAGTCAAGTGCTCTGGGATGCCTTTGCACACTCTTGGCTGACGCAGGTGAACAAGTTGACAGCCAAATGGGTCCAGTCTGGGAACTCTGCCAGCAGGAGAAGGAGCAGGCAGAAAAGAATCTGTCTCTGACAGCTGTAACTAAATATGTTGTTCCTACAGAGCTCGTAAAGGGTGGCTGGCATTACCACAGGGATCTTCTAACAGAAAGTAAGCCTTTAGCCTTATGAGGTTTAAAAAAAGTGCTATTTACTATGCAACTGTTTGCATTTGAAAAAGGCAGAGCCCTCTGCAGACATTAATCCTTTCCCCTGTTCCTCTCATGAGTATTTGACAACATTATATTTTTGCTCACATAAAAATTGCCCACCAGTTGTTTTGTGTCATGTTCCTAGGATATTTCTTCATAAATCATTTTCTCAGTAAGTTTGCTTCTAGTGCATGTAACAAACACCTGGAAAAGGACATGCATCTAGAACATATGACCTCTCTTGTTGGCTGTTTCATTGAACATGAGGTCTACAACACCTAAGGCAGACAGACGGAAAGGACTTGGGAAAAGCAAAGCTCACAGAGGCAAAAAAAGTATGTGTATTTGGCTTCTTACTGTTTACAGGTTGCCGGCAACGAGGTGATGGTGTTCATACACTTATCCTGTATGTACCCATGCTTATCCAGCTTTCAAACCGGGGCCATGCTGTGCCTTGTTGCAGAAACCAGTGTCTCCTTACAGGAAAGCAGTATGTGTATACGTGTGAGTGTATGTGCAGAGTAGGACTCTGCACTGAATGACACAATGCTCATGATTCCTTCAAGAACCACGCAAGCTGTAAGTAGCGCATTTTGCCTTAGCACAAGAACATTCAGCTTAGGATATATTTCAGGCTACGTTAGAATAAGAAAAAGCATCTGGTGAAAACTCTTTGGGTTTAAAAGTTCAAAAGTCACTTTCTGAGACTACTCCCCCTTTCCTGTAGGCAATTTGATGGCAGATATATTTGCTATTTTTACCTACATGTTCATCACCAAAGTGAGAAGAGCAGTCTGAAAGGCATACTAATACAGAAAGCACAATGGTATTTCTTACAAGAAAAGCGGTCTTAGGTAAAGGGAAGAGATAAATGTTTCCCTGCTCAAGCCAGAAACACAGATACAGACCTAAATATAACTACAGATTCTGATGCCAGATTCATTACAAGGTGGGCATTTATTGTGTACAAGGGAACACAATTCTGAGACTCTCTCCGAAAGACACATCTGTAATATCCAAATTTCAAGGACAAACAGAAAGAAAGGGTTTGGAAAAGGGTCTTCTACCTTCTGCCACATATCAAATCAGTTGTGTTTAATTACAGAATCTTAGGTGTTAAAATTACTGAATACTGGGTCAAGACTGGCAGCCTCATACAAGAAAAGAAAACAATAGACAAGATATGGTAAAATAATGTGCTAAAAACCCTTTAAAATAGTCTGCTATTATATGTCACAATTATCTGAAGATGTCAGGTGAACCATTTTAGAGCTCCACAGAACCTGCCATGATGTTATGGCAGCTCTTTCCAACCACAGAGCACATCAACTGGGGCTCAGCAGTTTATCCAACTGCAAAGCCCAGAACAGGCTGAAGTAGACCAAGTACAAGGGTTTGGCATAGCCTGTCTGCACCCATCTGGCACCTCACAGATAGGCAAACAATCTGTAGGCCACAGTAGCTGAGCTTCCAACTTCCAAAATCCTTGAGCAGGCTCTCAGACAGGCAGGCAGAAGTCAAACTACTTAGGGAAATGCTGAAGTAAGACTGTAAGAGATTAAGTGGGAAGTCTGAAGCCACAGATTTTACCCCAAGAGTTTATGAAAATCTCACCCAGGAGCACAGCACATAACAGTCTCAAGTTGCCTTAAGAAACCAATCAGCCAACTAGATAGAAACAAATCCCAGTTTATTTTGAAAGAAATGATTTTGTTTTAAAAAGCCTCCCTCAGATATTTCACCTTTTTTTTGGTCAAATATTATACAAATCTTAACAGTTCTGCATCAGTCCCTTAATTTTGTGGAACCAAATTTCTACTCTGCAAGGAAAAAGGAATGTAATGCAATAAAAAAGCAGAAACTCAGCGAACAGCAAAAGTAGTTTATGTATTTCAAAAGGACATGCCCCTTTGAAAAAAAATTATTCGGTTGGAAGTGTTCAACTGATAAAGAAATCCTATAATACTTTGACTTGGAAACATTCAAACTGTTGAAAAATAACACCGCAGGGCTGAAGAAATAAATCAAAGTTCATTGGCCAAACTCTACTCTCAGAAAGGAAGAGCTAAGATCAGAATTTCTCTCAATTGCTATTTGTTCTCCTATTTTATAATTGAATCTTGCAATCTTTCCTCAGACAAAATCATCCTCTGGGATTGCTGGCATTTTTTATGACTTCAAAACTTGGCACTCAGTGTTCTCAGGAGAAAAATCTTTAAGAGTTAAAAGTATACAGCTAAGCTGCAAAGAAGAACTGGCCAGCAGTGGCATGACCCCATCCCCTAGCAACAGAAATCAATAACAACAAAGATAACATAATTACACCACAGAAAGGATCCAGAGGGCAGATTATGTCAAGTATTATGTTGTTAAGAAAGAATGACGTGAAACAGACAGCATGTTTTAAACATGGATGAAAATACAGAAAATGTGGAAGGTAGATAAAAGAAAGGTGGAATACGAACCCAGAATAAATTAGCCTGCAGACTCTTAAAAGAGAGAGAAAATTATTCCTGTTCCTGCTTTCACTGTTTTATTTATTCAGTACACAGAATTAGATTCCCAGGGGAGCAGCAAAAGGCATTTTATTTCACAAGAAGCATTGTGGCACGGTGAAAATAGATGACCCTATGATGACAGCCTTTTTCTGGAGCTCTGGAGACCCAGTTCATTTCCTGTTTAGGTACAGATGGTCCATACTACTTAGACAAATCTTGGGCTTCCTGTTCCTCAGTCTCCCATCTGGAAAAGAGTACCAGTAGAAGTATAAGGATTCAGAACTAAGACGAATCAGACAGTGCTGTAGTCTTGGAATTACATGTAATTACCTACAGCAGAAAGACTCCTGTCTGCATTGGCACAGAACATACATTTGTCTCTTGAACAATGCACTTCTTTTTTGCTGTTAAGGTTTCCCATAGAAGAGGCAAGACATTGTGTTGGGGCAGCCCTCCACTTCTCTGCAATATTCACAGCTCTGGCACCACCTACCCATCAGCACCAAGGTTGTTTGGAAACGTTCACTTACACAACTCTCTACCAAAGCTTTCACATAGCTTTGAAACAGTGACTAACGTGGGGTAACTTTTCAAGAACAATCTCATTTTGAGCAAAACTGACCAGTACCAATAAACACTTATATGCCTATTGCTTTACATAAGGCAGTAATGCCCTGCCAGATCATCTGATCCCCCTCCCACAATTTTGCCTATTTCTTCCCTATATCACTGAAGTTTACTCTCACGGATCTTTTTGCCTCTCTGTCACACAGAGCAGCAAGATGTGGATTCTGTCACTCAAAATTTTCCTGCGTATTACATGATTAAAACAACCACCAGGTCATATAGTTATTTCATTAACACTCTTCAGACACCTTTACTTGCTTCTACTGAATTTTGCCTTCTCACCTACTGACCACAGCAGAGGTGACTCAGCCACCAGGGAGATCCTACCGCAAGGCCTTAGGCTCTCCGCCATGTGAATGTAGCTTTCAATTCAGTCCTAAGGAGGCTCTGACTAGCATCACCCTGCCCTTTTTCAGCCATGTGCCACATATTTGCTGAAATTAAACTATTTAAACTAATAGAAAACCCAAACAAATTAACAACAGCAAAAAGAACATCAGAGGATCATAGTTGTTGCGGGCTGAAGTGGCTGGGTTTTTGGTAGCGGGGGGGCTAAATAAGGTGGCTTCAGTTAGAAGTTGCTAGAAGTTTCCCCCTCAATGAAGCCAATAATAGCTGACTACAGGAGGGACTTCCTGCTGCTGGCCAAGGGAGAGCCAATAATTACGCCTCTGTGATAACATATTTAAGAACAAGTTTGTTGCACAGAAGAATTTTTTGGGCCAGGGGAGAGCTGACTGAGCTCCCGGGTGGGCCCATCGCCTCCCCCGCTGCGGGAGGTGGTGGAGGGGCAGCGGCGGCCTGGCCTGGGCCTCTCGACACTTAGCCCGGAGCAGGCAGCGGTATCCTGACCGAACCACCTGTGCTGCTCTCGGCGGTGCCAGCCAAGCCGAGCTGTGGCCCCTGCGAAGGGGTGGCTGGGGCCAGGGCTGAGGCCAGGGTGTGCGGCCCCACGGAGGGTGGCCCTGCAGACCCCATGGGCCCACCTCGCGAGCAGCCCGTGCTGGAGCCCATCCTGCCCAAGGAGCCGAACAGCACCGACAGTGCCAAAGCCCCCAAGGTGAACTGTGAGGAGTGGGGAGGGGTGCCCTGTGGGCTAGGCCGGGGCAGCAGAGTGGCCCCTGCTGGCAGGCACTGCCCTCCCTTAGACCCCCTGGCCAAGTCAAGCTGGGCTGGGGCCAGGGCGACCCACTGCAGTGCAGCCAAGCCCCAGCTGGAGCAGATGGATGCATGGAAGAAGGCCGTTACCCCCACGGAAGGCCCAGGATGGAGTGGAGCCCTTCAAGAGACTTGAGGCCCGTGGAGAGGAAAATCCATGCCAGAGCACGTTATTCCTGGGTAGGACTCATGGCCCTGTGGGGGATCCACATCAGTACAGCTCACCCTATGAAGGACTGCAGTGCAGAGACCCCCCCTGCCCTCCATGGAGAAGTGACCCTCGGGACAGTAGATATGGAAGAGCTACTGCCTAAGGTGGGGCCCACGCTGGAGGGGTCCATCAAGGACTGTTACCCATGAGAGGGATCCCACGGAGCAGGGGAAGGACTCAGAGCTGTGGCCACCCCGAAACCTGTGGTGAGGACCATGGTGGAGCAGGCTGTACCCCTGCAGCCCATGGAAGAGTGACCTACAGGACAGCAGATTTGAAAGACCTGTTGCCCAAGGGGTGGACTTGTCCCCCTGCACTGCTGTGGGGTTGAGGAGGGAGAACATGAAAGGAAAGAGGGGTGGGTGGAAAGTGTGTTTAAGACTGTTTTATTTCTCACTCTTTAGATCTTATCCTGCTAGTAATAAGTTTTAGTATTAACCCTACGTTAACTCTGTTTTACCTGTGTGACCTCTCACAGCTCAGAGCGACTTTAGTGGGTGCCTAGAATCCGACCAAGGTCAACCTACGACAACAGTGCTGTCTCATCATGATTTCTACTGATAAGCAGGCTAAGCTATAGCTTTGTGAACTCAGTTTCCAAGTACTCAAGGAACTCAAAACCGGGATCTGGGTGAGATGTTTGTAGTAACGATTTTTGGGGTTGGTGAAGACATACACCGAGAGTATGATTTTCACTTTTTTTTTCCTGGCATTTGGGAAAGAACCTTCTGAATGACCAATATATGCTCATGAACAGTCCTACCAGTTCAGCCAGTAATAATGAAAAAGCCCAAATTAGACAGACAGAGAAAAAGAGTGTGTTAGGATGTATGCGAGGCGTAACTCACACCATGGGTTTTGTCTCACTTAAATTCTGTGCTACCTGTTTTCATTGATATCCCTGTAGCACCTGATGTGGTCAATCTTTCTATCTCTATATCAAATTTTAAATTGGTGGGGTTCAAGTGTCACACATCGGGGACACATAAGAAGAGAGATACCTAAATGCAGAGACTACATCTACAGCAATAAATGAAGCAGGGCCAGGAACAGTCTCGGACACCGTGTCTCGGCCATCCACACTGCTAACTTATAATGTTTCCAGGCACAGTTTTGGCCCAAGGCTGAAAGCCCATCTTGAAAAAGTCCTAGGCCCAATTTAGAAGTTGACACTGGCCAGGGAGCACTCCCAATTGCAGTTCCAACATAGACACCCTGATCTGGAGAGTGAGAGAATTTAACAGTATGAACAGGCTCTTTCATGCCATTTGGCCTCAGAGCCAATTCTGGGTACATTTAATTGACTCATAGGTACATAATCTGTGATTCCTTGTGCCTTTTTACCATGGAAAACAAGCCCCAACTGTGTTACTATTCTCAAAGTCTTCCTAATTCTTTTTATTTTTAACTAATTCTTAGAGACCATTGCTTCTTGCCTCCAATCTATGCAAATTCCTGTGTTTTTTGAACCTTTGCAGGCGAGAGCCACAAAGGGGCCTGCTTTGCTGTGGTACCCATCTTTCTATCTCTTTTATTAGTAGAAGTAGCTGATAACAGACCAATTATGGTCATTATTCCTGTTATAAGATGTAAAACTCAGCACAGATGGTATCTTATTCAATCTTAACACGATGCAAACAAAAGAACTATTTTAACACACTGTATAAAATCAGGGGACTTTCCACATTCTTTCCCAGGAGTGCTTGAAAGCTCATGATTTAGCTGACTTGGCACCTACCCTAGACCCACCAGCCAAACTGGACTATTTTTCCTTCAGAACAATATGTTTTGAAGATATTACTAAATCTTGTTTTTTCCCCAGTTTCATATGGAACTGTGTTAATCACAGCTCAGTGGATGGGAGAATCAGTGCAGTGGATGCAGTTTCATAAGCCCTTTCCACAGCCTGCACAGTCAGTCTCCTCTAATACTGGCTGTTACAGTTCCTCTATTTGAGCTGCTGTTTAACTCGACTGCTTTCCCTTTGTGTCACCCAGCTCATCTTTTATAAATCCTAAAAAGGTTTATCAAAAACTAATCAAGTCACTGATGGTGTCTCCATATGATATAAATGAGTCAGACTTTTCAACCAGGACTCCCTGTAAGTTAATTTGAAGCAAGGTCGTTACCTACATTTATTAGAAGTTTTTGAGATGAGAAATGCTTTTGAAGGCTGAGGTTAAAAAAAATGAGGCTCGGATGAGTTAATACATATCTTTCTGCCTGGTAATCTTACTATCCACAGGGACATGGAGATTACTTCTATAGTTCAATTTACTAGTGTATATTCACATGAAGTAAGAAAAGTTTCCACTAGAAGTAAGAATACTTTGATTTTTTTGTGGCAAGTACTGTGTTAAAAAAAAAAATCAGGCCTAGTGTAATTTAACACAGAAACACATAGAACTAAGTGGTAAGCAGGTAGAAAATGCAAACAGTTTAAAAAATGCATAGATTCTATCTCAGTAATAAAAAATTTGGATAGAGAATCCTGTCAGTGGTAAAAATCATGATTATTATCTGTTGTGTACAATATTCGCATTCCTTAAGGATACTGTAGTTATTTCATAAGTTGCTAAATGGTACATGATATCAGGGAAAAAAAAAAGTGATTTGGAGCTGTGGAGAGAAAATCTTCACTATTTTATAATTCAAACTTATTATGTTTTAGCTGTTTGTCAGCGATAATGACTCTGAGTATCTGAATGTCAGCTCCTAAAATTAACTTATTCGATACCTTTGTTTTTAACTCACTGTAAACAAAAGAAATTAATTTATTTTTGGTCAACTCTTTTGGAAGGACTGCATTCTTTAGGCAAGTCATATATCTCATTGTCTCTAAAAATCTCCTGGTTTAACTCATAACCATTTAAAAGTGAACCACTGAACAGCACTGAGTGTATGCTTATATAAATGAGCATATTATTAGCCTTGATCCAATCAATCACACATTTCAATAGCTACAGGAAATGGCACCGGTGTGGATCAAATAACACACACAAATCATTACTGCTAAACTGAGTGTAAGTTATTGAAAAATTCCTCTTTAATTGGTGGAAACATTTGTCTACTTTCCCTCCCTCAGCTTCTTTCGTATCTGGTGCATAAGAAGCCGTGTTGTTGCTATTCCTGTTTCTGAATTCCAATGACATGTTCAGGATCACACACATTTATAAAGAAGTTAAGTTACTTATGATCTAGTTGGATATAGACAACAATATTTGTTTGATGATATGTGAGGTAGAAACACAATAGCTTTAGGATGTATGGCTGAAAAAAATGCTAAAAAGTGTTAACTGATTTGAGGTACAACAAAGAGTGAAAAGCTTTGTGTCTTGAGCTGATTAGAGAAGTGTTTGAGAAGAACAAACCATTGTCAAAATCAGTGATTATGTTAACATTCAAGTATTTTCTGATTTTCCACTTGATGATCTGAAGTCCAATAAAACCTGAAGTTTCACATTTTTCTGTTTTTTCCCCTGTTTTTTAAAAAACGTGGAACCACAAGAATAATAAAATAATCTAAAAGTAATATAAACTTATCCAAAAGTTTCTGAGGGCATGAAGCTGTGAAGGAAAGCAGCCTGCCGTGCTGTTCACTTCTGCTCACAAAGCCCTGCAGAAAGAAAGGAGCCATACCAAAGCATAGTTAAATTTGCCCTCAACATTTATGTGCCAGCAGATAATTCCTATGCCCAAGGTAATGCAGGGAAGTAACGGTATTGGTATTCAAAATGAAGGGCCTGCCCTTGACCCTGCTGACCCATCTCTGCTCCAAGATGTATATTAGTTCTTAAATGAAACAGTAATATGTTTGGAATATGCATATACTTTGTGCTTGTGTTTACAAGTGCTTCTTCCTCACTGGGAAGCGAAATAGAAAAGGCTTTCCCATTTTTTACCCACTGACAGAATGGACCTGCTGGAAGAACAGTTCTCCCTTGCCCCTTAAAATATAAAGGGTGTGATTCTTGACTGCAAATGAATAGCAGAAATAACTGTTGAGGTTAGTGAAGCTCAACAGTAAGGAAAATGAGAACCACATCCTAAATGTCAGCACAGTCCCTCTAGATTTTCTGTACTGCTTGGCACTTAGACAACACTTTTTATCTGAGGAACTCAAAAGGCCAGTTCTTAGTTCAATCTTGTAATACCCCTCTGAGGCTGGTAAAATGCCCAGCCAAGGGAACTTGAGTACAGAAAGGTTAAATAATTTACTGACAGTCACACACTGTCAGTGGCAGAAACCAAAGGCCCAAATGCCCAGACCTGTGCTGTAAATGTAACAAGCAATAAGCAGATTCTGGCCATTGTCAGTCGATTTGTGTATCTGTTCTTTAATGGAATGCATTGACTATGCATCCTTTGGGGCTTAAATGCTCAGTAAATCAAACTGAGCTAAGGCTTGTTTTAAATAGATGTAGATTTCTAAAACAAATAGCAGCATTCGCTCAGAGAAGTGGATCATAACTCATGGATAGCCTGTTGTTTTGGAAAGAGTAATCAGCAAAATGCAGGGAGAATTTTTACAGTGTTGTCTAGTAACAGTTATCACTCCTGTACAATATTACATTTAATAGCAAAGTCTCTGCTGAAACTGCAATACTGCAAATCCTTAAAATGCTTCTTTGTGGAGGGTAGGAGTTATTATATTTAGTTTCCATGCAAAGAAATGGATGTCCATTTGGAAACTGGAAAAGAAGAGGATTCTGCTCAAACCAATTTAAATTTTGAATATCTCAAGTAATGACATTAGAAGGAAAATGGAACTTAAATGTTACCCCATTTAAGAATCTGTTATACAGGATTTACGAAAACTTGATGTAAAATCTGAACATGTAGGCCAGGTTTTCTGTAAT